CATGTTATATACCCCACAATACATTGTTACTATGTTTGTGTTAAGTAAGTTATTTATATTTTAAAGATATTTAAAAATGAGAAAAAAGTCTTTTATATTTACATACAAATATACCTTTTTTTTTTTTAAAGTTTATGTATTATTGAGAGACAGTGCGAGCAGGGGAGGGGCAGAGAGAGAGAGAGAGGGAGACACAGAATCCTAAGCAGGCTCCAGGCTCCGAGCTGTCAGCACAGAGCCCCATGTGAGGCTTGAACCCACAGACTGTGAGATCATGACCCGAGCAGAAGTCAGACATTTAACTGACTGAGCCACTCAGGCGCCCCACAAATTTATCTTTTTGGTGATCTTCATTTCCTGGTCTAGAATCAGATTTCCATTTAGTACAATTTTTCTTATGCCTGAAGAATATTCTTATGACGTTTCTTGTACTGCACATGCATTGGAGCTTAATTCTTTCAGTTTTTGGTTATCTGGGGAAAGCATTTTCCTTGATACTTGAAAGATATTTTTACCAGGCACAAGACTGTTCAGGTTGAGGTTGAAGTAACCTTTTGGATATATAGATTTTAAGTTTAGGAGATAGATGAGGCATTCAGTATTGGTGGAAAAGCACTGAAGGGCTCTAGCTGGGCTGGTCCTTGGGTCTTGTGGATGTTGGCTAGCTGGGAATAATGTGGATAGAGGATTGATGGTATTATTTATAAAGAAGTGATAACGCTGTGAAGGTTAGTGGGTGGGAGAAATAAGGACTGGGTTTCAGAGTCGTCCTTGAAACTACCATATAACTCTTTTGCCCTCACTTTTTTTTTTCTAAGTTTTATTTATTTAAGTAATCCTTGTACCAAATGTGGGGCTCGAACTCTTAACCCCTAGATCAAGAGTTGCATGCTCCTCTGACTGAGCCAGCCAGGTGCCCCATGCCCTCACTTCTAAGACAATTATAACATTAATCATTATCATAAAACACACACACAACTCAGAATGACAATTAAAAGTGTCATTATACTCTTTTGAGAATGTTTCAAGAAACATACTTTAAGGTAGAGTGAGATTTTTTTTAAAGCATATATAAAATTTTAGGTATGAAATACGTATGTGAGGCAGTAAAAGATAGGAATCATTAGAGTCTTAAAATCAAGTAAGGGGCAGAATAAGCAAAACTCTATCTCTGTTCATTACTAATGGTCTGGTTTTATTAATGTTTGCTATTTCTTCTTAAATATTTTCTTAATGTTTATTTTTGAGAGCGAAAGAGAGACAGAGTATGAACTGGGTAGGGCAGAGGGAGACACCGAATCTGAAGTAGATTCCAGACTCTGAGCTTTCCACGCAGAGCCTGATGCAGGGCTTGAACTCACAAACCATGAGATCATGACCTGAGCTGAAGTCAGAGGCTTAATTGACTGAGCCACCCAGATGCCGCTGTTTATCATTTTCTTCTATCTTTAATATATATTTGATATTAAAATATTTTATCAACATTTTATATGCTTTATTGAAAGTTGACAAGTGCAGCTGTTAAATACAGTGACACCTTACAACTGTGTAGAGAACATGCACAGAAACAAATGCGTATAACTACTATACAGGTAATATGCAGAAACCCCTACTGGGAGATCCATTTCATTAGCTAGAATGGATCATTTTTCAAAGTATTCAACCAGCTCAATCAAAAGACTTCAGCGAACAGGAATTTACTTCAAGATATTCAGCAACTAGAAGATCTCAGGTTACACAAAGTGACTGACAACGCCAAATTCTTAAAATTTCTTCAGGTGTGGTTTTCTTCATGTGGCATTTTTTCTGTAGATCTCTATATAAAAGACAATCCACACCTCTTCAGACAGCCAATGAGACACCTAGATTTCAATCTGTACAACCTAAATAGTAGTTACAGTCCTCTATTGTACAAAATAGTTACACTACATACACAAATATACAATAAGCAAAACAACCTTCATGGTAAGATAGCCTAGGTCCCAGCTACCTGTCACCGTCTCAGAGTTTTGTGTCATCCACTGTTTCAGAAAGAGGCACAGTACTATCGTTTTATGGATTTTTGGTGACAGTCGTCAGTTTGTACGATGAACTATGTTTCCCCTCATCTTAGGTGAGACTATGCGTCAGTCTTTACTCTGACCTCCCTTTCAAGTTCCTCATGGGGAAAAGGAGAGAGGAAAGTCCAGTGGAGCCCCACTGCTTCCAACCCCATGGAGTACACTACGTGCAAGCAGGAGAGAACTCTTGGGAGCGGGGATGGGGAGCAGGGAAGGGATGATGGAAAGGCACACAGCTCCTCAGCATGAACGGAACCACTTCTCACATATCTGCCAAGCTGCATGAGGTCCCAGTATATCCATGCTAATTCTCTGATTAACCTTTAATTCACCCAACTAAGAAATTTCTTCAAGCCAAAAGCACATGAGTGTTTAATACTGGAAAATAGAGACAATGGCATAGGTCAGCCTCACTTCTCTTGTGCAGCGAGCAATGAAATGGGTGACTGTAGAGGTGGATGGATTCCCCCTTGTACGTCTTCTCTGGTCTGTTCAGTTCAGACAGCAGCGGCCAGTTCTGCGGGGGCATGGGAGGCTATGCGGTTGGTCCTGAGCCCTGGGACGCTGGCTGGGCCGGGGGCTGTGTGGTCCCCTGTGGCTGTGTGGTCGCAGGCGGGGAGCCAGTCTGCAGCTGGGCCTGAAACTGGGCAAGCTGCTCAGGACTGGCCAGTGTCTTCAGCAGATTGGTTTCCTGCTCCAGGGAATTTTTCTCTATTAGTTCTTTGATTTGCTCTTTAAGGGTTTCCACTTCCTCTCTAACCACATACATCAGATGGCCTTTCACAGATGGCTTTCCATAGCTTGCTCGATTTTGTTGTCAATAGCTACCACACTTGCACCCAAGGAGCTATTGTCAAGTCTCACAGAAGTGTTTTCAGTCTCCAGCAAGGGTGACAGGAAAGAAATTGAAAAATGTCTTAGTTGGTGAACTCCTAGATCCATCACCACTGGTCTACACCATTGGGATTTCATGCAATTGCAGCCACAAACAGCCTCACGGGAAAAAGGAATACCAGCAGCCTTGTTTGAGCTAGATAAAAATCTTCTAGCTTTTTGCAGCCCAGGGAGAAACAGAAAACAGCAGCCCTGGTTTAAAGAAACCCAGCTTCTGGGGCTTGGTGATCCCAGGAAGATGCTGATCCCACTGCTGTGTGGAGAAGCCTCCGAGGTCTACCGCCGGGCTCCACTAAGGCTTTTCAATATTAAAATATTTTTAATGTTTATTTTTTATTTTTTTAACGTTTTATTTATTTTTGAGACAGGGAGAGACAGAGCATGAACAGGGGAGGGTCAGAGAGAGGGAGACACAGAATCTGAAACAGGCTCCAGGCTCTGAGCTGTCAGCACAGAGCCCGACGCAGGGCTCGAACTCATGGACCGCGAGATCATGACGTGAGCTGAAGTAGCCACTTAACCGACTGAGCCACCCAGGCGCCCCTAATGTTTATTTTTTAAAGAGGGAGAGAGAGCACGTGCTCAAGTGGGGGAGAGACAGAGAGAGGGAGACAGAATCTGAAGCAGGCTCCAGGCTCTGAGCTGTCAGCACAGAGCCCGATATGGGTCTTGAACCCATGAACTGTGAGATCATGACCTGAGCTGAAGTTGGACACCTAACCTACTGAGCCACCCAGGCGCCTCAATATATATTTGATATTTAAAGTAACCTTAAATTAACCAGTTCTGGAAAATTGCAGTTATCTGCTATAATTTTCAAGGAAAAAACTAATTAATGATTGGTAGCATGCATGATAAGAATTGAAGATGCTAGCTAATTTACGGGATAACCTTTCTTAGACTTCAAATTTACATAGTGTAAGATAACTTTTTAGGAGTTTAAAAACTAGTGAGCCAGACTAGAATGTTCTTTTCAGACTGTATTCAATAACTTCACAGGCTATTGTAAGTATATTCATATATTAATCCTATTGCACATGTTGCTAGATAGGGTCAAGATTAGGTAAATGGAATATAGGATGTGTAGTACTCTGATTTTATAACTGAACTTTAAAAATTCAGTTTACATTAATTTAAATTCTGTAGACTTTAAAAGGATTTTCATTGTTTTTATCTCACGCAAGTCTGTTTTACTAGAAGTTTTTACTGTTTTAGATTTAGAACTGGTTTCATCACTGATCAAATGATGTGATCATCCACCAGGTACTTTGACCTCCCTAGGGTCAGTTCATTAAGAATTGTTAAATGTGGGCTTTTGACTGGGTCTGTAGTTTTTCTAGAGCTCTTTTTTCCTTAAATAAATTCACATGGAATCCTGGATAGTAAATAGATGGTTGGTTTTATATATTTTATAAGTTAGGAGTTCAGGTAAATTATATCAACTTGGAATTTACCCATGAGATAAGACTTTTCAAAAGAAAAATTTGAATTGGCTGTCTTACATTGGACCCATCTTCCTATTAATATTTGTTTTATTTTAGTTGCGTGGCATATAGAAGATAGTAGGTATAAATGCTAATAGTTTTTTTTTTTTCTTTTTTTTCTTTTTAACAGCTTTACAGTCTCAGGAAACTCTTCATTTAAATATATGTGGCAGGAGAAACTATTCTGACTTTTGTCCCAAAATGAATTTACTCAGCAAGACAGAAAGAACATTGACAGTCTCCTGTGTTTTAAAATTATACAATCCATATGTTTAGGGCATTAAAAATATTTAAAGTAAATTTTAGTCAAGGGTTTGTATAAGTCATAATGTCAGAGACCCAACTCAGGCCTGTTGTGATTTGAGAGCTTTTTATATCCTATTTTATGATTTTTTTCTTATCAAAAAATGATAATTTATAGACCTAGATACATTGGTTTTTGGCTTATTTCCCTATGTTTGTGACTCAGAATATTTAAACCTTTTAAAGACATTTGTACCAATTTTGTGACTAATTATTATTTATTTCTTTCTCCAGGGAAATGAGGCAAGTTATCCTTTGGAAATGTGCTCACACTGTAAGTCACATATTCTTGTTATCAAGAATTTCTTTTATTTACACATCTCTCTCTATATATGTATATATCATACACCTCTGTATATCTACATAGTAAAGTTAACCCTTAACTATTTAAAATGAGTAATGAATTTGACTTTGTCTTTTAAAGTTATCAGAGCAGGGAACTGTTTTTGTTTTGTTTTTTTTTAATAGAGCTGCTCTTTATTATTTGTATTGTGCTGTAGTTACAAATCAGCCCTCAGATCTCAGTGGCGTAACCCAACAGAAGGTTTTCAGATTAACAAAGTTTCAGGTAAACAGTTAATTTACTTATCCTTTGGTTATATAAAATAAAGTGTGTTGAAGGCAAAACTTCGATAGACCAAATAGCTATTGCCAAAGATGTTTCTCAGAGGAGTGAAGAGTATAAGAGGTGTGGGGTGGTCTGGTTCTTTCTGAGTGTACTGGAGAATGTAAAGAAAGAAAATGACAGTTTTTGAAATTCTTGATTTAAGGATCAGAGCACTAGGGAGCTTATATAAAAATCATAAAGTCTCTTGTATGGAAGAGCAGTGATTGGGAAAGGGAGAGATCTTTAGAATTGGAATAGGGACTGTTGGTAAGTTCAGATGGCATCACGAGGTCCCAGGATACCCAAACAGTTCTGAACCTTCCTTGCCATTTCTATTAGATGTAACTGGTCCTTCCCCATTTGGAGACATTATCTTGCAATGAAGTGTCGCTTGGTTTGTTTGTCACTTTCCCAGTTGCCCTTTGTTTCATTAGTCTCCTTTCTTTTCCCAAAACCTGTGTTAATTTCATTCTCTTCAACACCTTTGCTTGCTTATGCGCTCTGGGTAGAATGCTGTTCTATCAGCTCTTTATTTGACGTTGTTGTCATTCAACTGTCAGCATAAATGTCACCCCTTTGGAGATGTTTTTTCTCTCTCTGCTTAGATTCTCTGTCATGAATAGTACCCCATTTATTTTCTTTGTAGCAGTTATAATAAGCTGAGATTATTTATCATTTCATCTTACATTTTGTAACTTCTATAATTTGTTTTTAAATGCTTATTCATTTATTTTGAGAGAGAGCGTGTGAGCAGGGGAGAGGCAGACAGAGGGAGAGAGAATCCCATGCAGGCATTGAGCTTGTCAGTACACAGCCCAACACAGGGTTCGGTCCCATGAGCTGCAAGATCACAACCTGAGCATACATTGTTGACAAATAATGCATACACTGTTAAAGCTGCCCCTTTCAGTTTTATCTTCAGAACTTAATAGTAAGTCTTCTTTCTTACTACTTCATCTATGCTTTGATGAAACTGTTGAGCCATGTCACTGAAGATCTGTAGTTGTCAGTTATTGTGTAACCAGCTATGAATCTATCTGGGTTCTTCTACCCAGTTTATAGCTTTTTTTTCTCTGTTCCCTATTTGGTTCACTAGAATAAAATGTGCTTTTATAATATTTTATACATGATTTGGATGATTTCCCCAAAATGAACCTGTCTACATTGAAACCACCAGTTTTCTCCCATCCACATATTGTAGTAAATTTTTTTTGTCATTTAAAAAACTTCTTTAAGTTTTTTTTTTATGTTTATTTTTGAGAGAGAGACAGAGACAGAGCACAAGTGGGGGAGGAGCAGAGAGAGAGGGAGACACAGAATCTGAAGCAGGCTCCAGGCTCTGACTGTCAGCCCAGGGCCCAATCAATGCGAGGCTCAAACTCAAAACAAACAGTGAGATCATGACCTGAGCCAAAGTTGGACACTCAACTGACTGAGCTACCCAGGAGCCCCTAAAAAAATTTTTTTTAACATTTGTTTATTTTTGAGAGAGAGACAGAGACATAGAATTGGAAGCAGGCTCCAAGCTCTGAGTTGTCAGCGCAGAGCCTGATGCAGGGCTTGAACTCAGGAATCGTGAGGTCATGACCTGAGCCAAAGTCGGACTCCCAACCGACTGAGACACCTAGGCACCCCTGAAAAACTTCTTTATATTATTGGAAGAGGTTAGTGTTATCTGTGAATAACTACCATTATAGATAAGAATGTTAAAACTCATTTTTTTTTAAATTTATTTATTCTTGAGAGAGAGAGTGTGCATGAGCCCGGGAGGGGCAGAGGGGGAGAGAGAGACTCCCATGCAGGATCTGTACTGTCAGTGGGGAGCTAGACTCAAGGCTCGAACTCATATGAGATCATGACCTGAGCCAAAATCAGGAGTCGGATTTTCACTGACTGAACTACCCAGGTGCCTCTGTTAAAACTAATTCTTGAGGCACTTCACTATTTATATGTCCCTGTTCAGGTTAAATAATGTCTTGCCTTCTCACCTCTTCAAGACTCAACCTTAATTCTGTGTTCTTGATGGGTTCTTATGTAATTGTCTCAGGCTTGAGTGGTCTCAGCTCTTCAGGTAGTTACTGTCTGTTTTGTTCCTTTGGTATTTACCTTAAAAAAGGTAAGAAGATTCAGGGCGCCTGGGTGGGTCAGTCAGTTGAGCGTCCAACTTCAGTTCAGGCCATGATTTCAGAGTTCGTGGGCTTGAGCCCCACATCGGGCTCTGTGCTGACAGCTCAGAGCCTTGGAACCTGCTTCGAATTCTGTGTCTCTCTCTCTCTCCACTCCTCCCCCACTCATGTTCTGTGTGTCTCTCTCAAAAATGAATAAACATTTAAAAAATTAAAAGTAAGAAGATGGTAAATTATATTCTGCAAGGTACTGTCTTCAGCCTTGTGATATACGGATAAAGTAAGCACCCACAAAGTACTTACAGTCTGGCTATTGGGTAAAATTATTATAGTACAAGTAAACCATTATGAAAAATAAAAATTCTAAGGAGGGAAAATTACTTTTGGTTACAGAAGTTAAGAGCTTTGTGGATGGGGTGATGAAATTGGTTTTGAAAGCTACATAAGATTCGAATGCTGATTAATGCTTTACCTGTCTGGTCCTGTTTGTCTTTTTCAGTCTCCTTAAATTTCATCCAGGTCTTCAACATTCTATCCAAATCCCTTGCATAATCCTTTCCAGTACTCTGCTTTTAATCAATGCCTTGTCTCCTGAGTCTTAAGAAAACTGAAAACATTTTAACTGTTAGCCTCCTCATGCCCCTCCATCTTCTACCTCTGCCTGCCAGTTTTCTCAGTGCCAGTCATGCTTAACTGACTCCTTCTGTCAGTGTCAGTTTGGATTATACCCCCTTATTCAAGGTCAGCCTCCTTCCTTGTGCTTTTAACCTCATCCACTCTCATCTGTAGGACCTTATTTTGTTTCTCTGTCTTTTCCTGTATAGCTTAAGTTTTAGCTCCTCAGTTTACACATATAATCAACTATGCTTTGATTCTGATCCTTCATGTACCTCCTAGTTTTTCTTCACTTTTTCTCCTATTTGAGCTTCTCAAAAAAAGAGCATATACTGTACAGTTATCTCCATTTCCTTATTTCTTTTTTTTTCAACTTTAATTTACTTTTAATAACATGTAGTATTAGATTTTAGAGTAAAAAGAAGGCAATAGTGAAACATCTGACAAAATGCAGTTGCATAATTTGGTTAAATGTAAGAATAGTGCCTCTTTACACTATAGAAAATGACCCAGCCAATAAGCAACACAGCATAGATCAAAGACTAAAATTTCACTCTTCCAGTCAAGTTAGGTCACTTAATCTGTCACTACGGATTAAATGTTCATAATGAACATAATTTCTGAATCTCAAAATACCCCAGAGATGAAGATATACTAAATATTTCTAAGTTTAACAGAGGTTAAAAAATTTAATAGGTCAGATCAAAAGCTAACAAAAACACTTATATTACAAAAAAAGAAGTCTTGCCACAGTTTGTGTAATAAGTACTGTATACCTAAGTTCAAATTCCAACTCTACCTTTTACTAGCTTTGTGACCTTGAGCACTTAAGTTATTTAACTTTTCAGTACTTTGGTTTCCTCATCTGTAAAATGGTGATAGTACCTGTTGTATAGAATTGTTGTTATTCAGTTAATACATGCAAACTGCTTTCAGCAATGCCTACAACTTACTAAGCATTATAAAGTGTTTGCCAATATCACTAATTAGAACAGCAGTATTCTGGATGTTAATGCTCTTGTCAAGACCAAGGAAAGAACTTTGAGTCACCAAGTTATACTCACATAGTATCTATTTCCTTATTTTTGCTAATTTCTTGGCCTGCTGCAATCTGGCTTTTATCTTTTACTACTCTAATGAAACTGTTACTCTTAAAGTCAGTTTCATTTTATTGACACATTGACTATTTGCCAAACCTGATGGATTAAAAACACCTGTAAAATCATTTGTGCTGTTTTGGGGAAATTGGAGCATGATTGTTTAATATCAAGGAGTTAATTATTAATTTATTAATATTTTTTCAAGTAGTGTTATTGTGATGTTTTTAAAAATAATGTCTTTTAAAGATAATACTGAAGTTACAAGGAAATGATATGTCTGGAATTTGCTCTAAGATAATTGAAGTGGGTGTATAAATAAGATTTCTCATGTGTTAATGTTTGAACCGTTGGATGATAGGTATATGGAATTCATTAAACTAGTCTCTCACCTTTGTATGTGTTTGAAATTTTCCATTATTAAAAGTTTTTTTTTTTTTTTTTTTTTTTTTTTAATTAGCGTGCAAGCTGGGGGGCGGGGTGGGCAGAGGATCAGAAGCAGGCTCCGTGTGACAGCAAAGAGCCCAGTGTGGGGCTTGAACTCATGAACCTTGAGATCATGACCTGAGCCGAAGTCGGGCGCTCAATCAACTGAGCCACACAGGTGCCCCCAGAAGTTTTTTGTTTTGTTTTATTTTTTAATGAATGGAAAAAGGGAGGAGGAAGAAACTAAAAGTAATATCAAGGAGCAATAATTAATTTATAGCTAAGTATGGCATATGCAGCACAGCAAGCTTTAATAATAAGAGGGTATTTTTAAGCTCATTTTCACCAATAAAGGAATTGAGGCCTTGACAGTAAAAGCATAAGTGCAATACTTGGCATAGAG